CTGACTGCAGCCCTCACTTGTGGAGAGACTTCCCAGCTTGGCTTTGGACATACCCCGTCACTTATATTGCCTCATGTTGTGAAGGCTTGGTTGGACCTGTCACCCTTTCAGGGTCTGTCCTGTTTCCCTTGCTCAGGTGCTATGGGGCTGGGCCCTGGTCAGCGAGCCTCCCATTCCACAGGCAGCAACCAGCTCTTGTTGCTCCCTAACCCTAGGCTCTGGAAATGGACCATGGCCCTGGTTCTCCTCTTGCTGTGTCCATGAAGGGACCCTGTCACAGACATTTGGTTGTGCTTCCCTGTGGTCACGTATTGTGGTGTGGCACACAATGGTGAGGGCACTTCCCTCCCTGGGGGCTGACTCTTGGCCCAGCTCACATGGAGCAGTCCTGCTCCGGCTGCTTCTCTCAGTACAGGCAGCTTTCCACCCAAAATATTGCCTGCTTATTCAGGCTACATCTCTCCAATGTGACTACAAGGATATTATGGGAGGTCATGCTGAAGGCCTTACTAAAGTCAGGTGTAAAATATCGTCTGCTCTCCCTTTGTTTATACAACAAGCTGTCCCATCCTAGATGCCAATGATGTTGGTCAGGAGAGATTTGTTCTTGGTAAATCTGTGCTGGTTTTCCCCATTATCTTCCTTCACGTGTCTCAAAGTGTTCCCAGGAGGCTTTGCTTGGAAGTCTTCTGCAGGGATTTGAGCGTTAGTGACCATATAGCATTTGACAGGAGAAGGCACAAGCCTGAGCTTGCCAAGTGTGAAGGTTGGCTCCCCATCTTGTGCTGTCTTGCACATTGCCCTGGGCTGCAACATGAACTTTGTGTGCAAGTCAGAAGGGAGGAACACGTAGGTAGCTCCCACTTGACATGAGTGACTGCACCCCCTGCCTCCTTGCATTTATCATAAAGTGAAGCAGCAACTTTTCATGTGAACATCCTTCTGTTTTCCAGAAGAAATAAATTGTTTTCTTCTTTAAAAATTCTTACAAGAGCTCTAAAGACCAAAGTGTCAGTGAGCACCAATCTCCATGGATGGGACTTGCACTGCATGACATTCCTTGACTGGTGATCTTGCCAATGCTACACAGCTTGGAGTTCCCTGCAGCTAAGGGAATCACAGAATCAACTAGGTTGGACAAGACCTTTGAGATGATCAAGTCCAAACTATGACCTAAGACCACCATGTCAACTAGACCATGTCACTGAGTGCCACATCCAGTCTTTTCTTAAACTCCTCCAGGGATGGTGGTTCGACCACCTCCCTGGGCAGCTCATTCCAATGCCCAGTCACCTTTTCTGTGAAGAATTTCTTCCTAATGTCCAACCTAAATCTCCCTTGGTGGAGCTTAAGAGTATGTCCTCTTGTCCTATTGCTAGTTACCTGGGAGAAGAGGCCTACCCTCAGCTGGCTACAACCTCCTTTCAGGTAGTTGTAGTGAATGACAATAAAAATTATCTGTATTATCCTCTTTTTCCTTTCAGTGCTAGCTGCAATAAAATGGTGTTTTAAGCTGTGTCTTAGAGACTGTGTCTTTTTTGACACAGATCATAATGATTACTAACCCTTAGTGCTTTGCAGGAGTTCACTACACTTTTTCAGTGACTGCAAAGACCTGTAATCTCCTCAATTCTCCTCCTTTTTCTTTCTGAAAATTAGTCAATTTTTCAAATAATCTTCTCCAATCATCCAGACTTTTCTTTAGTCTTCATTTCCCTTTTATACCTAAAACCCCTTTTCTTAGTGTCCTTCACATCCCTTGTCAGTTTTCCCTCCAGCACAATTTTTGCTTTTCAGATTCCATCCCTGCATACATGGTGAAAGCTTCTATACTCCTGCCTGGTGGACCCTCCTTGCTTTCAACACTTGCTTTTTTTATTTGAGATTGGACAGAATGAAGGCACCTTTATCATCAGACACATGTTGCTTCCACAGAAAGATATATGGCAAGTATGGAAGCAAGGCAAAGGCTTTGCATGTATGTGAGCATAAAACTCATTCAACCACGGTGAGGATGTTTTTCAAGTTCTGAGTCAGATTCCCATCCAACCCATTGCTGGCCTGTGGGATGCGATCATCGAAAATTATGCCATGAAGGTCACATCAGTCTATGTCAGGGGAAGCAGTAAGAAATCATCATCTGTACAATGAAATCTAAGCCTGTGTCAGTTTCAAATGAATAAAGGGATGTAAGACATCATACGGGACAATGGCAATGAATTGCAATGACAATTAAGAGCAGTGACAAATACCTTGTCACTGTCTGTGAGAGATCAAGGCAGCACTGCAGACAACAGTGCACATCTCCAATGGCATAGAGCTGTTGCAGAAAGGTGCTAGGTGGGCTATGGGCACCTGTCTGAAGGAGCTTGACCAGATACTTTATTTGCTTTGTACTGGGGAAAAAACAGAACCACAGAACAATGAAGAGAGAAACCATCATTGATAGCTGCAGAACCTAGCCTGCAATGATAACAAGTTAGACAGTCAGCTGCAATCAGTAAATTTCTCAGTGACTGATTGCCTCTGTCCCTGACTGAAAGCCAGCTTCTAGAGTCACAATGTGGAATGAAGACAAACACAAAACAATTGATATACTCCTTTCTATTGGTAAAAGAGCAGGATCAAGGACAGAATCCCGAGTTCTGACTTGGTTTTTGTGATTGGATGAGAGGCTTTGTTCTGTGACCTGACCTGGACTTCATATCCTTTTGGATAAGAAGTATGTTTTACACTGTCAGTTGTTGAAAGCTCAGGTGCTCAAGAGTCTGTTGGTTTAGGAACAGCACCACAATGAAATGCCTGGCATAGGAAAGGGACACCGAGCCTTAGCTGACCTCTTTCTTGGGACAAGCATTGTCAACCAAGGATGTGTGACTGAACTGTTTGCACTGCTTGCACAGCTGTGCTGGGCAGGACAATCCATTGCCAGCTCTCCCAAGTAGTCTTCCAAGTGCAGGAAGGTCTGCTTACTTTAGGCCTCATGTCAAACAGACTGTAAAAGTCCTTTTAGGGTTGATGCTATGCTGTTAGCCTGCTCTGATCCTGTTCTTCATTTGCTCATGGGTATATTCTGTCACTTAAAACTGGCCTTGCACTAGCTCCCAGTCTAAGTATAGAAAACCACACCAGACCCCTCAAAAAGAACACAGCCTGCCTTTATCAAACATTATCACAGCAGAGCTTATTATCATCCATGTATTTGCTTATTGTGGGTGTGTTCTGAACCTGAAACTCCAATTCTTGGAGAGAAAACATGATTTTTGTATAACTCATGGAACAAAGCTCTGCATCAAATGCATACAAAGCTGTTCTGAAGATCTGGAACCAGGACACTACACAGAAGTCGAACTCACCAGATTAAAAAAAAACCACTGGGATAATTTTTATTCTATTCCTGCAGTGTGATAGTGTGGGAAAAAAAAAGATCACTAACAAAAGTGCAGCTTCTTCCTGAATATGTTTGTAGGTCCTAAAATTCAGGCCATATGAGATGAGTTGGACTTGTGATACAGGTCTGGACACTTCTGTAATTCATGTATCATTGACCAGACTAAGGGAATGGGAATCATGGTTATTTAGCAGGGAGTCTTGAAGGACATTTGAAAGGCAGATTTCACTGAGTTAAATACACTGACCAACTCTCACATGCAGCAATTGAAGACCAGTGGGGTGGGAGTAGAACTAAACCCTTGTGGACATAAAGTGGCCCTGAATAAAAAAAAAAAGATAAAGAGTGAAAACAGTGGCATAAATCTGAGATGCACTAGAAACAATGTGATGAAACAGCTTATTAAGTGAAGACAGACAGGTTTGAAGAATCATGAAGTATCTCAAATTGGAAGGTAACTAATGGAGATCATTGAGTTCAGGTCTCTGATCCTTGCAAGACTACCTACAAATAAGAGCATGTGACTAAGAGCATTGTCCAGATACATACTGAACTCTGACACACTGGGTGCTGTGACCACTTCCCTGGGGAGCCTGTTTCAGGGTGTGACTGACCACTCTCTGGATGAAGAACCTTTACTCAGTGTCCAATCTGAGCTTCCCTTGATGCAGCTTCAGTCCATTTCCTTGTGGCCCACCACAGGTCAGCAGAGAGAGAAGAGCAACACCTCCCACTCCACTGCACCCACTGAGAAAGTCATGAGCTGAGATGAGGTCACCCTCCAGACTTCTCTTCTTGTCCTCAAGGCCTTTCACCATCTTTGTCACTCTCCTCTGCACACACTCTTATAGTGTGATGTCCTTCTTACATTAGGGTGTCCAAAGCTGCACAGAACTTGAGGTGAGGCCACATCAGTGCAGAGTAGAGTGGGAAAGTCATAGAATCAGAGAATAGTTTGGGTTTCAAGGGACATTAAAGATGTCCCCTGCCTTTGGCAGGGTAAATCAACTCCCTCAACCAGCTGGTGATGCTGAACCTGATGCATCCAGTATGTGGTTGGTCCTTTTGGCTACCAGGACACAATGTTGACTCATATTTGACATACCACTGACCCAAACCCACAGATCTCTTTATGCAGGGCTGTTTTTAACCTTTCATCCCCCAATCTCTACTTGCAATGAGGATCACCCCATCACAGATGGAGAATCTTGCACTTGGTTTTGTTAAATTTCACACATTTGGTGATTGCTGAACTCTCTGGTTTATCCAGACCTCTTTCTAAGACCCTCGAGGAAGCCCACAGCTCCTTTTAGTTCAGCATAGCTGGCATATGCCCACATTGGCATGTTCACTTCAGCTTTTTCATCATCATCTTAGAAGGGTAACTAATAATCATTATTTTGTGGGCACAAAGCTTAAAAGGAAAGCAACGTATGATACATGCTCTGTGATTTGGTGTCCAGGCACAACTCCCACTATTTAATCACATGTCAGATTTTCTTCTGTCTACCTAGCACCAGGAAGCACTTCTGCCTCTCCTGATGTCCACATTACCACTTCCCCTCCCCTCCTGAGCTACACACTGACAGACGACTCATCAGGGGGAATGTAGATTTATATGGCACGTTTATTTTCACAAGAGGAAGCAGACTGAGGCAAAGAACACTGCACTGCCTAAACTTTTGACAGCAGTACAGGAGACTACTCTGCTGAACAGAGATCACAGTTATGTCCCATATGTTCTAAAGAATTATGTCGTACAGACTTTGAGATCCCTCTCCTGTCTTCCCCCCATTCTCCTGCTTTTAGAAATCACACAGTGCTTTGCAGAGGTCAGAATGGCTTCTTAACTGTTTGTCCATTCTATTATTTCAATACAGAATAATAGCTTTTTAAAGTGAAATATATTTGCTATTATATATTATGATTGTCCCACAGACCATGAACACTAGCTGGAATTCACAGCTCCTTCATCATCTGTCAGGCCATTAAGTTACTCATGGAAGATCTGAGAGATACAAGGCAAGTGCATACACAAATACATTTGGAACTGACTATTTTTTACTTTGTCTAGAGTTATGTTTTGCTGTTAACCCCAAGAATAAAATACTTTGCTGTACATCACATTCATAGAAAGATATTTTATAAATTTGACATGGAAGATCTGAGTTACTCATGGAAGATCTGAGAGATAAAAGGCAAATACATACACAAATACATTTTGAACTGACTATTTTTTACTTTGTCTAGAATTATGTTTTGCTGTTAACCCCGAGAATAAAATACTTTTCTATAAATCACATTCATAAAAAGATATTTTATAAATATTCCAGCTTCTCAAAGAAAATGTTCCTGGTTTTGACTATAATTTCAATTGGTTTTCTCACATGCACCCTACTTTATTTCCCCAATTTTTTTTTTGAAGAATAAAAGGCTAAGTCCTGTCCTCCCATCTCTTCTGTCTAGCATAGCTGCATTTTGTATATTCAGAAAGGATGAACTGAAAGAGAGTTCTGGTCCATTACTACATGCATAATAATACATGGACTAATTATTGACATATTGACTAATAACTGCTAATGTGATGCTTATATTGACTAGTAGCTGCTTACTGATATGTCACATCACTAAGGTTTTCAGATTTTTTGTTTTTTACTGCCATCCCAGTATCTCATTGCAAATGAAGCATATTTTCCAGCCTTTTCTCCAGCCCGGTGGTCCTGATGTAATGGTGGAAAGCACTGTTACACAGAATAAAATACTAATATTTGTTCTCCCTTCAATCAAACCCAAACCCATTGAAACAGAAAACTGACCTAATACCATTAATTTATTTTATGGTGTCAAAAGTCAAACTTCTGAAGGACAGCAATGGGTGGGTCACAACTCAGACTGTATAAATTCCCAAGGGCTCTGCCAGTATACCCACATACAGCTTGAAAGCTGTATTGTCTTTGGTGCTGAAGCTTGAAGGTAAGCATTTCTCTCAGAAAATTTACCTTCTTATTGCATTAATTCGTATTTCTGACTAAACTTAAAAAGAGAGAAGTTATTGTCTTGTGTTTAATATTTTTCAGGCAGAATATTTACATGATATTCTCTACAAATCTCACCAGTGTATATGCATTCTACGCTACTTTATTATGTGTAAAATCTGAATGTTTGTGGTTTGGGGGAGATTTTAGAAGTTATTCTTGTGTTTAAAATGTTATTTCGTGCTCAAAACATGATTTTATTTCACAGCATCTTCCTTATCTTTTAAGATTCATTTTGACAGACAAATAATAAATTTCCTTGCTTGACCTCTGGTTCAAAAGAGTGTATTGAGCTCAGAACTGTGGTGTTCAGTGAATTTGCTAGGTTTATTTTAGTGTGAAATTTCTCTAAGAGTTGCATTCCTGAAAAATGCAGTTGGTGAACACAACATAAAAGGGTACGTGGGTGGACAGATGTACAATTTTTAAATAACTTATAAGTGGTAACATGTATACAGAAAGGAAAGTGAGAGAAAAATGTGTTTTTCTGTATGTTTATATCCAAGATGCCATCCACAAAACACTTTTGTAGAGTTTAACACTACAAAGAGAAACTTGAGATCTTAGCATTTAGCTCCTATATAAGGGGCTGGATTTTGAAAAACAGCTATTTAATTTCTCAGACAGGTTATAGTCTGAGAAAACATAGCATATTTATACAAAACAAGCTATATCTGAAAGCACAATACAATGAAACATGAATTTTGTTCATCAGTCTTGCTCCAAGATTAGGTGACCTTAGACAAATTATATTTCCTGTCCATGCTTCTATTACTTAAACAAGAGTAAGCTACAGGCCTTTGAAGATCTACTGACAGTAAGTACTGTGCAACAAATAGTTCATTTAATGCACCTACTTATTTTTAGAAAATAAAAATAACTAGCCTCTGCTTTTACCTATATCTCTCCAGTCCTAGACCAAATGGAAATATAATTTGTGCTTAAATTTCCAGCTTTGCAAGTATATGAAAGACATAATATTTTCTTGTTTTCATCAAGCTACTACAAAGTACTAATGAATTTTAGCCTTCAGTGAATGAAAATAAGTACAGGTAAATGTTGTTTGACTGCTTTGAAAAGGTAAACAGAAATCACATACAGATTCCAGAGCTCTGAGGAACTGCTAAAAAAGGTAAAAGTATAGAAATGCAAAAGGAAACAGATTTGTGAAAACAGAGTTTCTAACATTCATGAGAGGTGACCATAACAACAGACACTAACATAGAATGATTTCCAAATTACTTGTTTGTATTTTATAGCCTGAAAATTCCTATTGAAATGCATGTGCTGTGTGTGTATGCTATTCCCATCATTACATTATTATTTATTTCTGCTCTTTGCTCCAGACAATACTGCTGCACAATGGTCTCCCTCGGTCCAGTGAGCACAGAAGTTTGCTGTGACATATTCAGGGAGCTGAGAAGCCAGAGTGTCCAGGAGAATGTCTGCTACTCCCCTCTGCTCATCATTTCAACCCTCTCCATGGTCTACATAGGTGCAAAAGATAACACCAAGGCTCAGATAGAAAAGGTGAGACTATGTTTGTATTTAAATCCTCCTGCTGCTCAACAGAGCCACAGCCCTTAATGATATGATAATGTCCCTCAGAGGCTAAAAAATGTGGATCCAGAGTTACCAAAACGTGGATCCAGAGTTATCAAAAGCAGTGGCCACCTGAAATTCCCACAATGTTCAACAAATGCATCAGCCCAAAATCTTGAGACTGGATTTAAATTTTATCACAGTTTAGGAGTAGAATTCTCACATTCTAGTGACTCTTTCTTTGGAAAGAGAAAGGAGACAAAATCTATAGGGAAAGAATCGAAATATATCCACAGTCTGCAAAGTGTGTCATGCGTTTCCTACAGTTCTCACTATCTTCACAGAGAGGGGCTGGCTTATTACCTATAAGACAGTTGGCATTATTGGTAGCACACACTGGAGCTGAATCCTAGATGCTCAATCAAAGAAAGGATCATCTAAGCAGGCAACAGTATGCATAGCTATTCAGAGATGGAACAGATAGATTGCACTTTTTGACTCATTCTCAGTTAGTCAATAGGTTTGCTTCAAACATTATGTGTTAATCTCAGTTGCATAACCTTTTTCTTGTCATACCAGTTATTTCAACTACTGCTTTTCTTAATTACAGGCTATCCACTTCGATAAAATCCCAGGATTTGGAGAGAGTGTTGAATCTCAGGTACAGAAACAATTTAATCCCTTCTCTATGTCAGTTTCTCCTGGGAGCAAAATCTGTCAGATAAGCAGTCCCGTAGCAGTTCCTACCCTACTCCAATGTGCAGCTAGTGCTCTTCATCCAGCTTTTGGGGGAACAATTCATTCATGAGAGTGAACGGAGAAGGCAGACAACAGAGAATTCAGAGCAAGCATAAAATGAAATCCATCACCATAATATTGGGCCAATACGGGGAATTTTTTTTGATGATTATGCAAAGTAGCTAGTAGTTAAGCAGGACTGGTTGGTAACTGATCTGCTGAAGCTAGATTAGTGTAGCAGGTAATTAAAAGCCCCCCCCAGAATGGTATGATGAAATTACAGTAGAAAACTGTAATTTTAAGCACTGAATTATATATTGTATATTACAAAATTACTACATCAGCATAGGATGAGCAGTTTTATAAGCAGAAGCATCTGAACTATTCTACTCCTTTCATATAGTATGTAATACCTATTCATCATTAAAACTAGGATAACATCATCTGTATTTTTATTTGTATTCATGTCAATCAGTGCGGCGCATCTGTGAGCATCCACAATTCACTTAAGGACGTCTTCACTCAAATCACCAGACCAAGTGACAATTATTCGATCAGCATTGCCCGCAGACTTTATGCTGAAGAGAAATACCCAATTCTGCCGGTGAGTTGCTCTAAGATCTGAATGTCAAAACTGTAACTTTCTGTAATGCAAAAAGCACTGTCAGAAATCTAGGTTGTGCTAAATAAATTTTCTTCCATATGGAAAGATTCTCTCTATCACAGCCTTAACTCCTGAAAATTTTGAGAAAAAAATGTGACTAAAAGATGTTTGTGCAAAGTAAAATAAAGTCCAATCAAGTCAAGGTATAACTAATAAAGGTAATTTTTGCTGGCAAGAGATAACTCCAACTCTTTTCTCAACTTGCAAAACAAACCTGGAAAAATGACTTCAGGTTCTCAAAAATATTCCAAGGTTTTTCATTGAAAGGAACACTTAATTTGAAATTCAAGGAGAATACCATTGTGAAAACAAATTATAAGTGGGCAAAAAGAAAAAAAACCCCATACTTAACTGAAATGAACGTTGATTTTAGATTGAACTCAGCTCTGGAAAACATTTTGTAAAAACATGGCCATCTAGTCTTGCTTGAAACAATGCATTTCTAATCTTAAAATGCTTATGAACTAGCTCATGGTTTAATGATTAGGCTTAATAAGCAGGTTGCTTATATCTCTTAATTTCATTTTTGCCTTTTACATCTGCAAAATGCTTTAGCATTCTGATCTGAAAACTGCATACACTTTCTTTGCAGGAATACATTCAATGTGTGAAGGAACTGTATCAGGGAGGTTTGGATTCTATCAGCTTTCAAACAGCTGCAGAAAAATCCAGAGAGCTCATAAATTCCTGGGTTGAAAGTCAGACAAATGGTAAGAGGAAACCAAATATCAGCATAGGTATTTCCCTTCTGCCACCATGTTTGAACAACATATGAGAACATTTAAGTCAGGTAATGAAAAACTAGCACCTCTACCTCTGCTCCTTCTCCTGGATAATAGATCAGTTCCCAGATACAGAACTATCATCTAACAATTTCTTTTTCCTCAGACACATCCCTGTTAGAGGACTCTCTCTATCTGTAGAGGTTTTGTGGATATGTAATATTTCCAGTCCTGATAAAAGGGACAGCACTAAAGTATGTTTTTTACACATTGACAAATTGTTTGACAGCAATGTTTCAACTTTTGTTTGAAGCAAAAAGTATTAAATGTTTGGTTGGGAGACCGTCATGGGATACAAGGTTCCAATGGTTCTTCCTGTTGACACAAAATATGCTAATTTTGTATCGAGTAAATCTCTGGCTCTTATATCTCTCACTATAATTCTTTATAGGGAGAGAAACAACAACCATTGCCAAGAGCAGCAAGCAAATCAACCTTGGAACTACAAGATCGCTACAAAACCAAAGCAATTCCTTGCCCTACATTCTCCTTCCCACAAATTGTTTACCCTCCATTTAATGTTGTAATTGCCAAGTAAGATGTGTTATACACAGATGTATTATACATGTTCTCTTTTCCTGTGCATTTTGAAAGGGTCGATCAAAAATATCCTTCAGCCAAGCTCTGTGAGTTCACAAACTGACATGGTCCTGGTCAGTGCCATCTACTTCAATGGATTGTGGGAGAAAGCATTTAATGAAGAAGATACCCAAACAGTTCCTTTCAGAATTTCTGAGGTATGTGGGCATACATAACTTCAATGGTGTCATCTTCTAGAATTTATGAGAGGAGTAGACAAGTTGCTGTACAATCTTCCTGAAAAAGAGTAATTATCAGCTTTAACCATAAAAAGGCATTTCTACACTCTAGGAATTATCTTTGTGGAAACGATATTATTTTCTTTGGTTTTGCAGCAAGAAAGCAAACCTGTGCAGATGATGTCTCAGATTGGCACATTTAAAGTGGCAGAGATCCCTTCTGAGAAATGCAGAGTCCTGGAGCTTCCATATGCCAGTGGGCGGCTGAGCCTGTGGGTGCTGCTGCCTGATGACATCTCCGGCCTGGAGCAGGTATGGCCCTGGAAGCTGGGTTTCAGAAAACCATAAACACAGTGAAATTTTAGGTCCAAAGAAGCTCTTCACAATAAAGTTGTCTTAAACCACATCCCTAGCACAGATCTGAATATTGGCAGCATGGGATTGTTGCATAGAGGTACGTGGCTATCTCAGTGGTCCTGCAAAAATTTGTGTGAGGATGGATTGCTAAGCAACTGCTTTAGTGGGTTAAATTTTTTGTCACTGCAGAACAGATTCTTCTCAGATAAGCAGCTTTACTCCAGCAGCTTGAGCTCCAAAGCTTTTATATCTCAATTTCTGCATACTGAGGAATTTACTGAAAAGGTCATCTTAGCTTGAGTATTTGTAATTATTGAATGATTTGACAGCCTTCAACATGCTTCCTTCATGCCTTCAAAAATTAAACTATCAAAAAATTGAATATGAATACTGGAATGGTTAAAACCATTTCAGAAAGTAAAACATACATGACATATTGCTGTTGATATGAAAAGAATATAGCCATTAGCAGGAATGCAGTTTGAATAGGAAAAGTTACGCAATAAATCTGAGTTCACTGAAATGATTGCACACTAACTCAAAGACCCTAAATTATAAAAATAAAGAGTCATTTGACCATAGCTAAATTACTTCAGTAATAACTGAAGAAATTATTACTGAAGAAATGTAGCTGTGTTTAAATGCCTCTAATGCTTACTAATACTTCAGGTATTAGTAAAACCATTAACACTTCCTTACTTGGAGATCTTAAATGTAGATAGAGCTTACAACTCATAAGCACAGAATGACTTTTGGAATATATTTCTGAAGAAAAGATAAACAGGCTTTGGGAAATTTGCTAAGTAGCCATCTAATCAAGACTATTAGTTGCCAGTGAGCCTATTAAAGAAATTGGAAGCAGAACAGAGAAGAGAATCATGGTTTACTTTCCTCTTCTAGACATATTAATTCATATAAACCCAGAAAATACACCATAACAAAAGCAGTCAGTTTAAGAGGAAGAAACCTCAAATGGTACTGCATTGCTACAAAAGAAATTGTGCTCTCATCCCAGAGATCTAATTTGTTTTTTTCCTTGCAGCTTGAGACAGCAATTACCTTTGAAAATCTCAACGAGTGGACCAGTTCCAGTAAGATGGAAGAGAGGAAAATTAAAGTTTATCTCCCCCGCATGAAGATTGAGGAAACATACAACCTCACATCTGTCTTAAAATCCCTGGGTATCACCGACCTGTTCAGTTCATCAGCCAATCTGTCTGGCATCTCTTCAGCAGAGAGCCTGAAGCTGTCTGGAGCATTCCATGAGGCATTTGTGGAGATCTATGAAGCAGGCAGTAGGGTGGCAGGCTCATCAGGAGCTGGGGTAGATGACACAAGTGTCTCTGAAGAGATTAGGGCTGACCACCCTTTCCTCTTTGTGATCAAGCACAACCCAAGTGACAGTGTCTTGTTCTTTGGCAGATGCTATTCCCCTTAAAGAGAGGAAAGCTGAAAGAGTTTCTGTCCCCCACAACAAGACCCAAAGTGCTGCAGTATCAGGGGTAAAAAGAAACACAATCTTTCTCTTTTATCCATATTTTATAAAACCAGAATGATTTATTTAAAGAAAAAAAAAAAAGGCAGAGAAATTTTACTAGGAAAGCAGAGGCCATTTGCCTTTCCTTTCTGCTGAATATTATTATTTACTCATAGATTAGGAGTTACTGGAATGAAAATCTGACCCAAAGAAAGCATGAGCATTAACAGAGATATTCCTGGTTCAATTTAACAATAGTAGTGCTGAATCATCACACTGAAAAAACACATCACCTTTTTTGGGAAAAAAATGCAGTCTTCTAACTGATCCAGGTTTCTCTACAGATAAATTTTGTGATGACTCCTCTGGAATAAGTCACTCAAAATTTCCTAAATTAAACTTTAAACTACTACCAACCATATCTACTCTGACAAAGCAATTGATTTTTATTTCTACCCCTGATACTGCAAGGCTCTTCCTCACTTTCTAAGGATGCATTATAGGAATCTTATAATTAATATATTCATATATTTCTTCTTAAGCCTATTTGGGTCAATCATCATGACTAAGCATGGCAGATTGCTATTCAAATTTTCTCCATGTATCCTATCCCTGTATACAATGGGTCTTGTGGATGTACACTTTTGCTCCTTTAATCATAATAAAAACTTATTTAAGCAAATGCTTTTCATTTGGAGTATTTTAAATGCAGATGGGACAGGGTAATCCTGGCTATGTGTACAAATTTGTGGCTTTGGGTGGATGGCAAGCTGAACATGAGTCAGCAGTGCCCTGGCAGCCAGGAGGGCCAACCTGGGGTGCCCTGGGGGGCATCAGGCACAGCATGGCCAGCCAGGCAAAGGAGGGGATTGTCCTGCTCTGCACCAGGGCAGCCTTACCTTGAGTGCTGGGGGCAGTTTTGGGTGCCACAGTATAAGACGAACATCACACTCTGAGAGTGTGTGTAGAGGAGGGGGACCGAAATGGTGAAAGCTCTCAAGGGCAAGACTTAAAAGGAGTGTCTAAGGTCACTTGGCGTGTTCAGCTTGGAGAAGAGAAGGCTGAGGAGTGACCTCATCTCAGCCTACAACTTCCTCACTGCGGGCAGGGGAGGGGGAGGTGCTGTTCTCTGTCTGGTGACCAGCAAGGGCATAAGGAAATGGAATGAGGCTGTATCAGGACTGGACATTAGAAGGAGTTTCTTCATCCAGAGGGTTGGTCATTGGAACAGGCTTTCCCAGGAATGTGGTCATGGTGCCATGCCTGTTAGAGTTCAAAGAGCATCAGGACAATGCTCTTAGTCATACAGTTTATTTATAGATAGTTCCATGAGAAGCAATGAGTTGGACTCAACAATCCTTATGAGTCCCTTCCAACTTGAAATATTCTATGTTTCTGCAATTTTTCTGCCTGAGTTGTTCATTGATTTCAGAGAGGTGATTAATGATTCTGTCATAACTCGGGGCTGTCAGAATATTGAGACCACTTTTCTGCCAGGAAGCCAGGAAGGGACCGGTGTGACCCATACTGCTTAATGCATGATACTCAAACTAGTCAGATGCCACAATTTCTGGACAAAACATGATTCATCCAGTTTCTCTGAAACAGCAGTTGATAAGCAGTCTGAAAGGCAGCTGGATGTGTGCAGAATCTACATGCCAGTGAGACTCAACATTGCCTCAGAGAATAGAGGGGAATGGGAATAGGAAGGAGTTTTTTACTTATTTTTACAGTGTGTTTACAAAGCTTTATGGGCTTTTATTCAGAAGCTAAGGAGAATAATTATGCTGGGAGATGGGATGTCTATGGTGAGTTATAGTTTTTCTCTGAAATTGTTTATTCATCTCTTTGACACTGAAGCAAGAAAGGAAACAGAACTGTGAGGAACTGTCACAAAGAAGCACCAGGAGAGTAAAATAGAAAGATTTTGGGGGTGCAGTTACTGCAAGAAGGCTATGCTCTTTCCTGATTCTAGTATGTACACCATAGCATCAGTGCTGGGAGAACTGTGGTGGAATGTTTTTTTCAGTTCCACCACACAATATTTACTTGTTGTACTTGTTTTGGCTTCCCCTCCTCCATCCTCCAAAATAACACATACTTTGGCAGGATCTAGGGGACATGACTTGCTGGTAGAAAAGATGATCTTGCAAAAGAACAAAGACAACATGACACTACCTTCACTGGTATGTAAATAGTTCAAATATATTCCTTCACTTTCTTTTATCTTAGCTGATTGCTGATCAATAGATAACCATGTGGAAACCTATTGCAAAAGACCTCACAGTGTGTTTACCATGGTCCTAGAGTTTCTGTTGATCTGGTCATGGAAATAAGGCACCTAAATTCCTAAGGACACTAACATTTCAGCAGCTTTTTTCTAAAACTAAAGTATTTCTAGGCTGTTTAATTTTTATCAATTAAAGCATACTTCTTCACACACAGAAGACACAAAGAAGTTCATCTGCTCCTGTGTGTAGACAGATATTTTCACTGCTACCTCCTGATTTCTGTTGACTTCAGCTGCCAGCACAGCAACAAGCAGTCATATTCTTGTCCCCAGCAGTCACTTCCTTAAAGAAAAAAAACAACCCATGTGTTCCCAGTCCTATTTTCAGAAACTATTTTGGAATTTTGCAAATCATACACCCATTAAGGAATGGATGCTGCAGTCCTCAGATCCCAGACAGAGAAATATTTGTTTGAATGCTAAAAGCTTCAATAGCCTTCCACATCTGAGGTACTGTAGCTTCTGTAATAACAGGCACGCAAAGTACATGCCCGTAGAGGAACATGCCTGGATCTAGCCCCAAGCTATGTGCCAGATATCAGACCTCCATCACTCAGCATGGAACAAATCCTCTCCTTTGTGCCAGCAAATGAGGCTACAACTTCATCTCACCATACTCAAAGAAATGAAATAGTTAGCATCATGTCCTAGAGACTCCAGCTCTCTGCTGTGTCATGAAGTACAGGTGGGTTATGCTCTTGATTGCCCACAGAACATCTTTCAGCACAAGTATGGAAGAAGGCTCATACTCACAGCTTTAGGATCTGTCATTAGAGGCTTTTATTGCTCTACCACCACACCCCACATATATTTGTAATTTCTAGCATGCATTCAAAGGATTAGTGAGTTGTGACGATACAAGACCACACTTGCTTGCTTTCTTGTGGTCTTACAGAGGGAAGGTAATTCCTTAGAGATGACAGAATTTGACCCTGAGGCATTACTGTTTATTCCAGTACTAACTGTTCTAATACATAAAAATGCAAGTAATATTGCTTGGTTGAACAAAGTCAGTTATTTGCAAATATTGGTTTCCTGAAGTTCACAGAGTTAGAGAGTAACTTGTGTTGGAATGGGCAGCTGACAGTCACCTGGTCTTAACTTCAGAAACACATCAGGGCCCTTCCCAGCCAAATGTTGGATATCTTTAATTTTGGATAATCCACAGTGCTAGGATTTTAATTTTAATTTAATTTTAAACATAAATCCAAATATTACTAATGTAGAAATAGTGTAGACTATTTATCCAGCTTAGTTTTCGCTCACCAAATGAGAGTTGGCCATATGTGAAAATGAGCCCTAACAGTTCCTTCATTTTGATTCTTCCATGTCCAGTCCACAAAGCTCTCACTGATTTCCCTTACTTTTAAACCTCTTGGAGCCAATGCAGAACACCTCTGAAAATCCCAATGAGTGTTTAGTCAGCCATATGAACAGGAAATTTCTAGGAAATTCCATCATTCCTAACAATGATTAGGAACAAAAGTGAGATAATAGATAGGTTCATGCTATGCAGTTTTAGTCCAAAAGCATAATTTATACTTTATCTACATTTTATTATATGGCACTATCACTGGGATATTGTTTGCACCTGGCCTCTATTTCCTTGTTGTTACAGTATTGAACTTCCCAAGAAAAAGAGTTTAATACCATATAGTCCAACTGTCTTGTGAAAGGAACATACAGTCTCAAATTTCATTCTACTCACAGAAAAAAAAAAAAAAAAAAAGCCAAACTAATTTTGTGTTCTTATTTCTTTAACTCATTCATCCCTTTCCTACTCTTTCTAAATGCTAGCAATAGCTTCCCACAGCAGGCAAACAATGAATTTCTATTTGTGGAACCTTCAGAGAACAGGAAAAGGTTCCTCAAGGTGAGCAAATCCTTACAAGGAAAGCTGACTTAGTAAAATTCCAGTTTAGTGGCTCTGATAAGACACCAGTGAGTGGGAGAATAGTGAGGTGCCAGATGTGTTTTTGTAAGGAATGGAATTACAGATCCAAGGGGGCAGAGGAGGAATAGTTAAACTTCACAGGGCTGTATGCAGGAGCAGTTCCTCTTTCCTCTTCTCTTTTTTCTCTTTCATTCTGCCTCATTTCCCTTGGATGTGGTTCATTAACCATTTTTCCCCAAGATGCTGACTATCCCCACCCTTACCATGCTCTCTTTTTTCCTCCTTGCCCTTCAGCAATCTCTACTTCTGTGGGCAGTGAGGGAAGAGGGCAGGGCTGGAATCAAGGCTTGATTCTAAGAGGAGAAATGTCAGGGAGAGGAAGAAAGTGGGAGGACAATTTACCCCTCCTACTGCCTGGAGGGGCCATCTGCTATGAAATTATGCTGTCTCAGCTACAGAGGCCACGCTGCATCTCAGCTGCATCTGCATGAGGTGGGGAAAGAGCCCCTTCCTGCAGCCACAAACAGAGAGACATTGCTCTGCCTTCCTTACACAGCTTTTGGTAACTTCCCTTAGCCTGATGTTGCCTCTATTCCATTGAATTGAAATCGGTCT